ACAGCTCATATAAATTTGCACCGTAGTGCCACGTAGAATTTTGTCCCGAAGGACCGCGTAGAAATGCACCGAAGTGCCACGTAGAATTGCACCGTAGTGCCATATAATATGTCTCTAAGGACCTCATATAAACTCCTTAAGAATCATATATATGCTAAGGATCAAACATGTGTCTCACAAGACCTCATACATGCTCCAAAGAATACATATACGTCCCGAAGGACCACGTAGAATTTGTCCCGAAGGACCGCGTAGACCCTCTACTCTTGGCATGCCAACTATACCTCTAGATCTCATGACACATATCATGGGCATTATTCTTTATATTATTTCATATATTCACATAAAAACATAATTCACTTACACGTAGAACATTTCCATGTGATTCACATTCACATGTTCATATAATCACGCAATTTACTTTCATGTAATACATGTCACTTTTCATATGAATTCATATTCATATATCACATAGCTTATACTTTGTTCTTATGTCTTCTCATAGACATATATTATTTCTCACGTAGTCACATATATTCATATCATATTACCTATATTATTTCTCATGTATTCATGTAAACATGCATGTCTTATTTTGTTCACATATGTTCATATATACATCATATAATCCTTTCCTAAAGTTCACACTCTATTTTCCCATATGGCATATCACATAAATCACATAGCACATATAAGCACATATCATTTCATATAATCAAGTATACATACCTTTTATGTCATTCACATCATTATAATCAATAATCCATACACAACAACTATTGAAAATAGACTTATCACAAGTCCAATTCCTTATAATCCTATAAACTAAAATGCACTCATAAGAATCATACCAATCATATAACATTTTAGGAGTCCCTTCTTACCATAGTAACTCTGTCACTGGCTCATCGCGAGCCAATGTTTTTCGATAGCATAAGTACAATTAAATTGCACTCACCTTAGCCTTGCTTGCTTTGATTCAATCCTAATCCTTTGATTATTCCAGAACTTGTTTAGGCTCAATATCTACATAAATATAACATTTCAAACGACTATCAGAAGCCTAAACCTTAAATTTGATGTTAATAACTTAAGCCGGTTTAATAAACTAAATTTTCATTTTTCATTTAGGGGGAATCGATCCCCCCCCAGGGGGTATCGGTTCCCTTTGCATAATCTGGAAATTTTCGTTCCAACCCAGAAAATTACTGTTCATTACACGAAAATTCTCTATTTTCACTTCAATTCTTCATATTTCATCCCCTTTCATATTCCTACCTCAAGTATACATACTTAAACTAATTTATATCTATTTATTTTATCTTAAACCTTAGAATTCTATTCTCCATATAGAATTCAATAATCATATCAAATTTTCCATGTTATCCAAACTTAATTGTAACACTTATAACTTCTTATTCTCATAGATGGCAAGTCAAATTCAACCTCCAAAATCATTTAAACATTTCTATTCAAAATTTCACTTCAAAACCCATTTTCTTTCATCTGTCATAACTCCTTTATCTTTTGAATTTAAGATAACTTAAGCTTTCCTTAAGCTTAATTATCATTTAATGATCAAAACCTAACCTTTAATTCAACAAATAATCAACAAAATCGAAAACTCACCTTTGACTAGTCTTCCATGGTTGGAGAAGAAGAAGAAATGAAGAAGAAGATAAAATGCATTCATCTCACACGTTTTTATCTCCTATTAAAGGGGATAAAAATATCTTTAATGTCAATTGACCATTTTGCCCTTTAATTCATTGGATAATCACTAAAAACTTTCAAGAAATATCCTCAAATAAATCATTGAACTATTCAAGTATTCTACTTTTATCATCAAATTCTAAAATTTTACAATTTGGTCACTAACCCGTAGTTTGGGATGTTACAATTATAATATTTATAGTGCTTATTATTTTATGGGTAAAGTATAGTAATGGTCACTGAATATTTCTGAAGCTTGCATTTAGGTCCCCCAACTTTTAAAACTTGCAATACAGTCCCCCAACATTTATTCTGTTTGCAATATGGTCCCCCAACTTAAACCACCGTTAGAAATTAGGGTAAATTATATAAAAGGTTATTGAACTTTTCAGACACTTGAATTTAGGTCCCCCAACTTTTAAAACTTGCGAAACAGTCCTCAATTTCATTCTAAACCCCAATTTCCAAAGTAATTTAATTTCATTCTAAACCCTAAATTCTAAAATAATTCAATTAAATTCAATTATGTCATATTTATTATTATTTAATTTCATCTTATTTCATGTGATAAGTATTTTTTATATAAATATAATAGTATAATTCTTATCTGTTGAAGAAATTTTTTAATTAAAAAAGTAGTTAGGATATAGAAGAGGTTGAAAATAATTCGAATTTTAAATTTATAAAATGTTATTTTGACTTATAAATAAAAGTGTAAACTACTAGGTTGACAACTTAACTATCTAGCCCTTTTTACTTTTGTCATCGATCTTTTAAATTTATCAATCATACAACATAATTATTTAACTGTTTCAACTAAGCCACTAGTCGTTACCAATTGATACAAATGATGAAGTGACAGTTAAAAGGAATTGACATTATTATACATTCAGTCTTTATTATTTATATAATCAATTTGGTCCTAAATTAAATATAATTTAATAAATTAATCATTTAATTAGGATCTGACATGTGTTAGCACATGATCATGACACGTGTCATTGGTGACACATGTCACCACCTAATTATTTATATATGCTATCAATTTGGTCCTAAATTAAATAAAATTAAATAAATTAATCATTTAACCAGGATTTGACATGTGTTAACACATGATCATGATATATGTTATTGGTGACACATGTCACCACCTAATTAGAAGAAAATTAAGTTACAAAGAAGTAAAATTTGGGTCTTGGGCAAACTCAAACCTAAGTCACGCAAATGAAAGATACAGGGTGGAGCCACTAAGCTAACATCATCGTTTGTGTTAAGAGATATACAATAATACATATACTAATAGTATGACCAATGCCAGAAAAAAAAGAATATAATGGAAAATGGAAATAATGAGATTTGAACTTCGGCAAAAAATTTGAAAGCAATAAATGATGGGAAAATATTATATTTTTTTTACAATAAAAAATATTATATTTGATAAATTGTTTGATAGATTTAATATATTTTTTAAATATTAGTTGATACAATATTTTAAAAGAATAAATTTAAGATTTATATATTTTTAAACTAAATTTAATAATTATATTTTTCATATTTATAATTCATGATTATATATATAATCTTAAGTTGAGTATTTCTAATATAATTAATAATTTTAATTTCTTATTAAAAATAAAATATTCAAAAAATATAAATGATTCATACATTAATATATGAATATATTTTTTTATTTATACATCTAAATATAAATATACATTTATATAAATATATTTTTATTCGTATATTGAAATATTTTGATTAAAATATAAACATATTTTAAATACTAGTTTATACAAGAAAAATAAAATATATCAAAAATATAAATGATTCATACATTTAAATATAAATTGAATCATTTATATTTTCTATAGATCTATATTTAATAAGAAAATAAAATTATTGGGGGACTGTTTTGCAAGTTTTAAAAGTTGGGGACCTAAATTCAAGTGCCTAAAAAGTTCAATGACCGTTTATATAATTTACCCTAATTTTCTAACAGTGATTTAAGTTGGGGGACCATATTGCAAACGGAATAAATGTTGGGGGACTGTATTGCAAGTTTTAAAAGTTAAAGGACCTAAATGCAAACTTCAGGAATGTTCAGACCATTACTATACTTTACCCTTATTTTATTTATAGTGCTTATTATTTTATCTATAGTGCTATTAGATATATATATATATATATATATATTTTATAGTAGAAAATTATGGGGCAGAGTGTGACAATTAAAACCAGATCAGATCGGCTGGTTTAACCGGTTGAACCGTAAATCGGTGGTATGTCCGGTCCGGTTAACTTCCAAAATTGATTGTGCACAGAACCGGTAGAATCGGTTGAGAATCGGCAAAATCGGGGTGATCCGACTAATAACCGGCAAAACCGATGTGAACCGCCGGTTCTCTCTTTTTTTCTTTTAAAAAAAAATAAACCAAACGACGTCATTTATTAAACGAGCCAAGTCGAACTCGAGTACCGCTGAGCTCGACTCGAACTCAAAAAATTTAAAAGTAAGCTCAACTCGAACTCGAAATATAATATTGAAACTTGAACTCAAAAAGGCTCGAACTTAAAAAAAATGTAGAAGCTCAATTGAAGCATGAAATTCGAGTTCAATTGAAGCGAAAGAATAATTCGCTCTGTGCTCACCAAAGACTATAATTTTGAATGTCAAATTACCTCTAGTATTTATAGAAGTCAGTTGGGATGCTCTTATATGTTTCTTAGCCATGTGAGATTGTTTTGTTCTCATATTTTTTCTCTTTAGACTTTTGGGATGTTCTTCTATGTTTCTTAGCCATGTGGGATTTTTTTTTAAAAAATAAATCAAACGACATCGTTTGTTATGTTTTTTTTTCAGCCCCAAATTTATTTTTGATTATAGTTATATAATTATATTTATTATTTAATATGTTTTACCTTAAATATTATGTTATAATTGATTTGAATCATTTTGTTTCACTTTATATTATATATGTTTGTTTAAAAATATATATATTATTAATATTGTTTTGAATATTATGTAAAATTTTTAAAAAAAATTATTTTATATAAAATTCGATTCAACCCGATTGAACCACGATTAAACCAGTAAATCAGTACTTTCACCTTTTCAATGTTTGGTCCGATTTTAAAAACATTGCAAAATATAATCTCTGGTCCAAAACAATGGCTTCTAAAGTGGGGCACTCACGTTTCTGCCGGAGGAAGAGGTTAGACACATCGGAAATCAAATATTATAAATTTGTGATCTAGTTTCATTTGAGTGATATGTAAACTTGTTTCGTTTTCCTTTTGGGTGATTGCAGATATGGATGCAACAATCTCTCCTGGATTATACCCATTGCACCGTTGTAAAACTCCCCACTTGGTTCGTGTTGTTTCTGTCAAATAGTTACTGCTTTTTTTTAATTGATTTGAACTTTGGATTGAAAGTTGATAGGCCAATCTGGTTTTAAAATTGGGTTATTGTTTTGCAGGTGAGGCATGCTCAGGGGATTCATAATGTAGCAGGGGAGAAGGATCCTGCTGCTTATTCATCTGAAGATTATTTTGACGCCCATCTCACGCCTCTTGGCTGGCAACAGGTTTATAATGGAAAAACCATTGGTTGAATCATCGTGCTATTTTTCTTTTCTTACAAGAGGAAACTGAACAACTGAAATATATGACGACTGGGTTTATTTAGAATCAGTGTTTGCTTATCTCGGTTATTGAAATCTAGTGCATCAAAGTTAGTTTTGGAGAGTTTATTCTTTAAATTATGCTTTTGAGCAATGCTATTGATTGTCTTTGGCGGCACTAGTATGAATAATATTGCTTTAGCATGATTGTATTTGTGACCCTTATTGTAATTTATAACAGGTTGATAATCTGCGCAAGCATGTTCATGAAACTGGGCTTTCTAAGAAAGTGGATTTGGTTATTGTTTCCCCTTTGCTCAGGTATTATAAATTTTCAATTACATTGTTTGTTTCTCGAGAATTTCCTCTTGGGTACTTTTTTTTTCCTTTCTCTTCTTTTTGTTTTACTAGTACTGCTTTGAGAGGAAGAAAACTTTGTGGCATCATTTTTTAATCCTAATTTTAATCAGTGAACCTCTGTTTATTCCTCATTGTACTGTTTCTATTGTCAAATTATTTTGTTTCCTTTGCTTTTCATATGAACTTTTCATTTGAAAGATGAATCTTGCTTTAGGGGAGCAATTTAGGCCCTAGTTGCCTAGGCACATTTGCACAGATTCATATCGTTAAAACAATGGTACGTTTCACCTGAAAGTCTGCAAAATCAACAATCTTTTTTTTATTGTAACTTCAAACAATAGAAAAGGACTAGGAACTAAATCCAGAGGGAAATATGTATGTGAGAATCAACATTATTGTTTAATAGTGAATGTTTGTTGCCCGGAGAATGGAAATATTCATGATGTTTCTATTAATGTGTACCTAGTCGGAATATTTAATCATATTTCTCACACTCTAGCTGAGTCTTTATGTATTATAGGACTATGCAAACTGCAGTGGGAATGTTTGGTGGAGAAGAGTATAAGAACGGGATTGACGTTCCTCCACTAATGGTGGCAAATGCAGGGGAAAGTGGCCGTCCTGAGATTTCGAGACTGAATTGCCCACCATTTGTAGCTTTCGAACTTTGTCGAGAAATTTTGGTACATCCATTAACTTAATGTGTTTGCTTGATGCCAATGCACCCTACGAAAGAATTTGCAACTCAATGTGTTTCTGCTTATGCTTTTGTGTGTTGTTGCATACTGTGAATAGCCAATTTCGTGCATGCATTGCATTAGTAATGAACTGTGACTTATCCATTGAGACTAAAATGGAGTAATAATTTTACTTCAATTCTTTGTTAAACCCTGAAATTATATTTAACATGGATATTCAATAACCATCTGTATACTTATATGCTTCATCAAACTTCTATACTTTGCTTTCGGAATAATCAATATATTTTAGCCATCTATTTTATTAAGGGAGAAGAGCCCTGCCCCTCATCCACCAACCCACCCAATTTTGTTATTAAATACTTTTAAGTCCATGTTAACTCTGAAGTCAGGTAACTTGATCCCTCCCACCGTCTAATCCCGGTTCTAACGCTCTTACTCGCTGCAATTTGACTTTCCAGTTTTCTGCTTTAAAAACGTGGACTTTGGGTGCGTTGTTGTTCAATTTCTACGTCTGTATTAATGTGTTGTTTGCTTGTCCCAAGGGGGAGCTAGCTCCCAAAACGAATAAAATGTTGCCGAATCTCCATGGTGCTAATCCGAAATATGCATGGCACAGTTGATATGCATTTCAAGATAGTTATTAGTCAGAGACTCAACATAGATGTAATCGTGTAAAGATTGGAAGAAACTCGCAATGTTATGATGGATCATAATTTTAATGGTTCTGGCATATCATTATAAAAAGCTGGAAATTGAATGTTTTTGACATCTACGGCTCTACCCACCATCAATTGTGTGGGAAACTTGTCACATAATCCCTACTGTTTCAGTTCATTGGTAAATGTAAGTCATCTTTTTGATTGCTTACTTTAAAAAATTCTGTGATTAAAAGAGTAATGGATTATGCTGATTCTAGTGTAGTTAATGTAAGTAAAAACCAACCATAAGTTGATAAAGATATGTACACTCAAAAGAACTAGTTCATGTAGTAGAATTTGCGGCTAGTATCAATTGCCTAAGATGTTCACTTTTGGTATTATGCCTTTCTATCTCATTTCCATTGTTTCCTCCTTGAACCATCGAACTGCAGGGAGGCCATCCATGTGACAGAAGAAAAAGCATCAGCGAGTATCAGTCTCTCTTTCCTGCTATTGATTTTTTCTCTGGCAAGTACTTTGTCTCAATTCTCAATTTCTCATTATTATAAATTGTTATGCTTCCAAATTCAGCAATGGCGGACTGCAAGAATTTATGTTATGTTTTTTTTCCCTTTCAGATCGAAAGTGACAATGATGTTTTATGGGTAGCTGACACCCTAGAAAAGGACGAGGACGTTGTAGCCAGAGGAATGCAGTTTCTGAACTGGTGAGTGGTCCTGTTTCTTCCTTATGTGCATATTTTCCCTTTATGTTGGATCAACATAACAAAGAAATGCAAGTGTATGCCAAAACTGAACTGTCCCATGACTAGAATATATAACATCTCCTGCAGGTTGTGGACGCGTAAGGAGAAGGAAATAGCAGTTGTTTCGAACGGCGGACTTTTGTACCATACCTTAAGTGCTTTTGGCCATGATTGTCATCCATCAATGAAGACCGAACTATGCAAAGAGTGAGTTCTGCATAACCATTGATTGTTATTTAACCGGCATGAAGAAGGGTGTATACACAATTACATGCTAGTATATCTCCGGACAACAACAGAAGGAAACATGTTTCAATACTGATAACCTAAAACCTTGGATTTAACTGATTAATAAGAAATAACAGTTAATCATTTGCAGGTTTTCGAAATGTGAGTTATCATCTGTAGTTCTGTTAATAGAAGGTAAGGATTAACAGTTTAAGAACTTTAAATTGAACTTGCTTTCTCGCTGCGACACATCTTTTAATATACTTGTTGTTTGTCATTGCAGTATGATGGGATCGGATCCTGCAACAACTAACTATCCTGGAAAAATCCCTAGCGGCCTTGATCTTCCGAGTGCTGAGAAAACTTGCAGACGAAGGAAATGCCAATCGGTGTCGTTCGTGTTCCGAGGGTAGACCAAGCATGAACATTCAGATTGATATCCACAACATGATTGATAACAAACTGACTGCGATTATTTGTTTAGTGCTTGACACATTTGAAAGCACATGAACTGCTAAGTCCTACGATTATGAGAGTTTTTCTTATGGTCATTTAAATGGAAATGGGGATGGCATGTTGCACCCTTCTACAAGTCTGTCTTTGGCAGTATCATCCATTTTCTTTCGAGCTGTCTGGATCCGATCTAGTAGCTCTGAGGCCCTTCGAGGGCTTAGTATGATGTAGACATTGATACTGATTTTTCGAAATCGACTTTCGGATCCGGTTACTTTAACTGGAAGCCAGTAAAGAAACCGCATATCCTTAGAGGACAGTTTTAGATAAAGCTGTTTTGAATTGACCTGTTCCTAATTTAAAACACCAATGTGAACCAATAATATATGGATAAAAATACCACTTCAACTCATATGGATAAAAACATCCTTATCTAAAGAAAAAATAAATTAATTGTTAGAAAGCCTATCAAGAAAATAAAAATATAAATACCCTTCAATCCAACGTAGGAAAATTGTCGATCATTATCCATCAAATAATCGTGAAGTTAATTTTTCAAGGAAAAAAAAAAAGAGTAATGGTCGCGACTTCCACCGGCATCAACAGTAGACCGGTTGACTAGTTTTAGCTGACCGTGTCATCACACGATAATGCCAAAATGATATTTCCTTCAAAATTCTCATATTGACCTGGTAAAAACCACTCACCCACTGGATTATTACTTCGTTATTTCGTATAAAGGTCACTTGCGAGCTCAGAAAAATCAAATAGCGACACAGTTTTCCTTGTTGAGTTTTGTTTTGCTCTCTCTGTAAGCATTTACCAGGGAAACTTCCTTCATCTTATTAATTGTTATGGTTATGGTCTTTAATTCGTCAACCAGGTCTCCTCGTTCCAGATTTTCAATATAAAGAATAACATTTTTCTGAAACTTCAGTTGATGGGCTTAGATTTGGATTTTCGTGCATCAATTAGATGAAGCCTGGTCAATCTCGATGCACTGAAATCATTCATATTTAATATGTAGTTTTTAACCTTATACGGCTACGGAGGAAACTAGTCTGGGGGAATTGATTGCATCAACAAACTCTCTGAATTCCAGTAAATTAACATTACCAATGTCCTTTTCCCCCTCATTTCCTTCTGGTTTCTTAGACATTATAAGTTTGTTATTCTAATGGGATTTTTTAAACAAAGAAAAGTAGTGGGACAAGTGAGAGTGAGCGTGGATATATTTTATTTTATTTCCTTTATAAAACTTAGGCTAGTAGCATAGGGATAATAGCCTCAACTTGTTTGGTTGATCTGCATGCAGAGAATGGATGCAATTGCAGCACCTCCTTCGTTCTACCAGTTGGGCCGTCGTAAACGTATTCATCTGGTTCGTTTCCACTCATTATCTTTACATATTCACTTTGAATGTTGGCCATGTGTATGTAGAAATTACAAAAGATTTGTATGAACAATTTCATCAGGTGAGACATGCACAAGGAATGCATAATGTTGAATCAGACAAGAGTCGCGATCCACTGGCATCGTTTGAACTTTTCGATGCTCAACTCTCGCCTCTGGGCTGGCAGCAGGTGAATAGAGCTTTGGCAACTAAAATCTGTGTTCTTTTCCCAGTTAGGAAAAGCTCATTGTGCTGGGATTAATGACATCTTTGTACCCCTTTTTAATAGGTTGTTGATCAGCGGGAAACTGTTCGTCGAAGTGGCCTACTTGGTAAGATTGAAGTTGTCATCGTTTCCCCTATGTCAAGGTACCTAATTTTCCCATATTTCACACCCACCCGCCTCTCGAGACAGTGATGGATCGAGGAGGATGAGCGCCTTGAAAACTTTAAAATTTTTTTTATTGATAATTTAATTATATTCGTTAACACATAATATTATAATTATATTAAATATAAAGTTAATTGACGACATAAAATTCTACATCTATTCTTTGATGTAATAATATTTAACGAAATTTCTTCGATGCTTCTTCAATATTAAAATGATTGAACTGCAGAACATTGCAAACAGCAGTTGGAATTTTCGGTGGTGAGGACCAAGCGGATGGATTACACGTAACTTCATGGCAGGATTCAAACGTAGAGAGTCGGCCACCAATTGTAGCGTATGAACTTTGTCGAGAGCGAATGGTATGTCGCCCACGTAGCTTGGCCTTTTCCATTAGACTTACGCTTGATTTTAACAGCTATGTATTCATGATTGGAAGATGGTAGACTTCCTAAATCATTCATCCACTCTTTAATCAATCAAGCTCGGACCATGCCCTCCACGTTGAAGCTGGTTAGGAAATAAATTAATAAAAGACATGTATAATTATGATACACTCTATAATTGTTTCTTTTAATAATATCATCTCTAAAATTTAGAATTTTTATGTTGTTCTGAATTGTACAATATATCTTTTTAATGCGTTCAACACTTGCTAATATTCGTGTACTTTTTAATTAATAACGTATTATCACTTCAACACTTGTGAAACTTTTGATCTCGTATTGCAGTTTTTTTTCTTCTTCTTCTTTTTTTTTTTAAAGAAAACAAGTTATTGGATTTCGAAAACTTATGGTTTCGTTGGAATGGAGTACAGGGAAAATATGAATGTGACAAGAGAGAAAGCATCAGTCAGTATCGGTCTCGTTTTCCAGGGGTTGATTTTTCATTGGCAAGTACTACTTCACTCAAGACTCTCCATGATCCGTGAATTAAATAGCTTGCATTTCCATTCACATTAATTAACACAAACACGTCACCAATGATCAGATAGAAGATGAAGATGAAGTATTGTGGGATCCAAATGAAAGAGAAACTCTTGAAGCAGTCAACGCTAGGGCCATTAAGTTCCTCAAATGGTGAGTTAAAACCCAATTTTGTTCCGAAATTCAAATCCGACTCTTCAGAAGAAAAAAATTACTTAATATTCAATCATTTAGGTTGTGGGAAAGGAAAGAAAAGGTGATAGCGGTGGTGAGCCATGGTGTGTTTTTGCAGCAAGCGATGATCGAACTTTTTCAAAACAAAAATCATTACACTTTGCCCCTCAACAACGATTATGATCCATGCAGCCGGTCAGTATCAGTTTACCTCCCTACACCTCAACAAGTTGATCAATCATAAATCGCTTAATTTATACAAAATCACTCAATTTCATACTTTTTTTTTTCGTATATCTATGATTTTCTTTATTATAAATAAAATATTAGAACGACTCTTGACATAGCATCTCTTGGTGGTTGCAAAGAGTTTAATATCATACATATATTTCTCTTCTTTTGTATTTTTAATATTGACCTGTCTATGACCCATACATATGGAAATCATGTAGCTTTATTTTAATTTGACTAATAACTAAGCATCTATTGTCTATTCATGCAGCTTTAAAAATTGTGAAATTCGTTCGGTGATCACTTTCCATGAAAGGTGAATAAATGTATTTCAATCGCATCAAAATTTTGAAATTTGATTTAAGGTAATATCTTAAAGGAAAGGATGAGAAAAGTTGTCTAATTCCTCCATGTTATTTGAACTGGAAAATTGTAGCATGATGGGACTGGGATCGGATTCCATGATATGTAAGCAGCAACGTTGTGGAAGAATTGAAAACCAAGTGCTCCAGATCAGAGAATCTGCCAAAGATAAAATTCCAGTGGAGGAAGTGGAAGTCGTCACTTAATGATCACTTCGTGTCACATTTCAGCGCATGACTCAAGATCGCTCAACTGCTACCGTCGGATCATTTCACACATAGCTTGGTGCTTTTCGAAGAAATTGTATCTAGTACTGTCTTCTTTCTCTTTCATTTTGCCGGATTGGATTTTAATAATGTGAAATCAACAAACTGTTTTGTGTGCCGTTGCCATATCACAGTCATTGTGTTCAATTTTGTTTCTCTCTCTGTGGGCTTCAAGTAAAAAAGGGTCGAACTCTGTGCGTGGTGAGTTTTTAAATATAAACTCATGGTAATTCTATCATTCGACATAATGAACCGAGCAGCTAACTCCTGTCATCGCCTGTGGCTGTCGTTTCAATACACCGGAAGTTTTTTTTTTATTGTTATGGACTGACTACTACTCCATAGTTGTCTGTGTCTTTCGCTGGATGAAAGGCCACTTAATTAGTTACCCTTTGGCTTTCTACAAGAGGAAGCCACTTGCGAGCTGCAATGAACCAAGTGATTTTGGTATACTTTAATCATTATTTGTATTTTGCAGTTTTATTATGAAACGTCTTCTTCTATTACCATATTAATCCTCCTTTAAACCAAAAAAAAATCAATCCTAGGTCGACCGACATTAACGATCTGGTAGGAGGTGGAGTGTTAGGGAATTGATGCATGTACTAAACAAGACCAATGTAAGACTTTATGTTAAGGACGGAATTATAAAATCTTAGGGGTAAAATTAATTATCAACGGAAAATACACAAAAAAAAAAAAGACTATAATATTGAAAAACTTGAAAGTTTCTGGAGCAATTGCTCCCATCCATCCACCCGGACCATCCTTGCTACTGGAAGTCATGACACTCCACTGAGACCTAGGTGAGGTGGACCATCCTTGCTACTGAAAGTCATGACACTCCACTGAGACCTAGGTGTGAGCTTAGTGGTATAAGAATGATGCTCTGAATTAGGAATTTACTACTTTTTATTACCCGATTGTGTAATATGGAGACTTAGTCAAGATTGCGTGGGTTTAGGGTTCAGGTTGCTATGAATCATTAGTCAATTCCTCTTCCATTGTTATATTTTGTGGCAGACAGTGGAGGAAGACAAACTTTTTCCCCTTTATTTAATAGTTAAATAATTAATTTGAAGCTAAAGAGCAATATTCCTACACTTGTTGTTTGGGTCCTGCAAACATGTAATGAACTTTCAGATTCAAACCATATGTTTTACCAAAGGTCATTGATTTAAATCCTTGAAAATATAATAATATTAGAATTTTAATTATTATTTTTATATTTTTACTCTATTTTATAAAATTATTTCTTTTAAAATCATATAATAAGTAAACAATGACACTTGTCGCATGATTCATGGAAAAAGGGTCTTGATTCGTACGAATTAATCCGATAATATGTGGAAGTATAATGGTTTTTTTTGACCCAATACCAGGTGGGTACAAAATTTAGAGTACTGGCCTACCAAATTTTATTTAACAAACTACTACATTTGTTATAGTCTTTCGGATATTATTTTTTAATAGTTTCCACGTTGTAGGTCTCACATGGACTAATATTTAATTGGGATTATAATGACTCGTCATGTTGAGGTGACAAGTCCATTAATATATATATATATATTAAAAAAATCGATGAAACTCAACGTATCGAGGTGACGAGTTCCTTCGAATTCAAAAAACAAAAAGTAACTATTGTACAATGGGCAACAACGACCAAGGGAACCTCAATTTATCTAAAAAAATAATTTATTTAAATTTTACGAAATACAAAGTAAATAAATGTAAAAAAATAAATTTTTACATGAAAATTACAAAGTAAAAAATCAATTTTATCTATGTATTCTAAGTTCTTGATGATGTCGCGAAGTGGTCAAATGATAATGCTACAGGGCTTGTCAAGTATGCCGAGGTCCTAGGCCTTGATCGTCGTCGTAGTCGTCTTACCGAGGAGGTGTACCCAACACACTCCGTGATCAATCGTCGTAATTGCTTCGACTTGGCTTTGGTGACCATATAGGATAAGGTCCCACTCACCCGCAACCGCATGTTCTGTCGAAGATGCTTGAGTGTATGCGGTGCATCCCATGAACCTCCAATCCAATTCAATCGAGTATCGACTGAAGTATGAAATGGACAATTGAATATTGTTGAAAACATTTTGATGTTTCGATATAACAAATTAAGTTAAATGAATTTTAAGATTTTACAAATGATTTTCTAAATATATACTCGAATATCAAATTATTACTTCAAGTCTTCAAGATCAATTTCAAACCTTACTAAATGTGAAAAATTGTGTTTTATACTTAATATATTTTTGAAATAATTTTCAAAAAGTATTTTGAACCAAAATCAAGCCTAAAATCAAATTTTCAAAGTGATGCACCAATCCATGCATCGATGCACCATGGAATAAATTGAACATCGAATGCATTTCATGTATCGATGCACATACTATGCATCGATGCACTCAGAGTTTTATGAAAACATCGAATGCATTTGATGCATCGATGCACCAGCCATGTATCGATGCACTCTGGTTATTTTGAAACATCGAATGCATTTCATGCATCGATGCACTCTTAGTGCACCGATGCACTAAGGGTCCAACGGTCAAAATATTTGAATTTTACACTTGATGCACTTTGGGTATGCATCGATGCACTGTCGCTCCCAACTGATTTAATTAATTGTTTTCACACTTAAACGGCTCTATTGACTCCACTAATCATCCCCAACGTTCAGAATCATTTGAAGGTGTATTTAAACAAGCTTAGAAACCATTGATCAACAACAAGAATACACAAGAAACAAGAATCAAGAAAGAATCAAAGAGAAAACATCAAACATCAAGTGATTTTATCAATCCACCGAGCAGCTAACTCCTGTCATCGCCTGTGGCTGTCGTTTCACTACACCGGAAGTTTTTTTTTTATTATTGTTATGGACTGACTACTACTCCATAGTTGTCTGTCTTTCGCTGGATGAAAGGCCACTTAATTAGTTACCCTTTGGCTTTCTACAAGAGGAAGCCACTTGCGAGCTGCAATGAACCAAGTGATTTTGGTATACTTTAATCATTATTTGTATTTTGCAGTTTTATTATGAAACGTCTTCTTCTATTACCATATTAATCCTCCTTTAAACCAAAAAAAAAATCAATCCTAGGTCGACCGACATTAACGATCTGGTAGGAGGTGGCGTGTTAGAGAAATGATGCATGTACTAAACAAGACGAATGTAAGAATTATAAAATTTTAGTGGTAAAATTAATTATGAACGAAAAATACACATAAAAAACTAAAATATTAAAAAACTTGAAAGTTTCTGGAGCAATTGCTCCCATCCGTCCACCCGGACCATCCTTGCTACTGGAAGTCATGACACTCCACTGAGACCTAGGTGAGGTCCATCCTTGCTACTGAAAGTCATGACACTCCACTGAGACCTAGGTGTGAGCTTAGTGGTATAAGAATGATGCTCTGAATTAGGAATTTACTACTTTTTATTACCCGGTTGTGTAATATGGAGACTTAGTCAAGAGTGCTTGGGTTTAGGGTTCAGGTTGCTATGAATCATTAGTCAATTCCTCTTCCATTGTTATATTTTGTGGCAGACAGTGGAGGAAGACAAACTTTTTCCCCTTTATTTAATAGTTAAATAATTAATTTGAAGCTAAAGAGCAATATTCCTACACTTGTTGTTTGGGTCCTGCAAACATGTAATGAACTTTCAGATTCAAACCATATGTTTTACCAAAGGTCATTGATTTAAATCCTTGAAAATATAATAATATTAGAATTTTAATTATCATTTTTATAATTTTACTCTATTTTATAAAATTATTCATTTTAAAATCGTTAAATAAGTAAACAATGACACTTGTCGCATGATTCATGGAAAAAAGGTATTGATTCGTACGAATTAATCCGATAATATGTGGAAGTATAATGGGGTTTTTTTGACCCAATACCAGGTGGGTAAAAAATTTAGGGTATTGGCATATCAAATTTTATTTAGCAAACTACAATATTTGTTACAGTATCTCAAATATTTTTTTAATAGTTCCCACATTGTGGGCTTTATGTGAATTATTATTTAATTAGGATTATAATGACTCGTCACGTCAAGGTGATGAGTCTATTAATAATATATATATATATATTAAAAAAATCGATAGAACTCGACACATCAAGGTAACTAATTCTTTCAAATTCAAAAAACAAAAAGTAATTGTTGTACAACGGGCAACAATAGCCAAGGGAACCTCAATTTATCTAAAAAAAATTATTTAAATTGTACAAAATACAAAGTAAATAAATGTAAAAAAATAAATTTTTACATGAAAATTACAAAGTAAAAATCAATTTATTTATGTATTCTAAGTTCTTGATGATGTCGCGAAGTGGTCGAATGATAATGTTGCGGGGCTCGTCGAATATGTCTGTGTCGTAGGCCTTGATCATCGTCAGGAGGTGTACCCAACACACTTTGTGATCCACTTTCGAAAGACGATGATGGATTTATGACATTTGACGCCATCATTGTCGTAACTGCTTCGACTTGGCTTTGGTGACCATATAGGATAAGGTCCCACTCACCCGCAACTGCATGTTCTGTCGAAGATGCTTGAGTGTACTGTGGTGCATCCCATGAACCTCCAACCCAATTCGATCGAGTCTCACCTGAAGTATGAAATAGAGGATTGAATTCGAAACTAGCCTAAGATGCGTAATAGTACTTTTCAGCCGCAGATGCTGAAGCGGAAGAAGATAACAATGATGATTTCTTCTTGGACTTGGACTTGTCGCGTGTGGCCTGATGATGTTGTCATTCTACCCATTCTTATGGTGTCGTGAGATATAGTTTGTCATTTTGTTCATAAATCCGGAGATTGTGGGAATGGTCGAAATCTAAGTCCAGCGGGTAATGTCCTGACGATGGGGGAGTGATAGTTCATGTAGTAAGCGTGTCGCGCTGGCCAATTTTCATCATGTTTCCCACGCGTATTGATTGTATAGAGTGCGTCCATATCAACCTCTATTTCCGTAGGAATCGGCTGGTGCGTTGCAAACTGACGCATCACTCTATCATCCGCATGCCACTCAACAACCGTTTGGTGCAATAACGGCGTCACAACACACCATAAGTGGGACCCCTCTAAAATC